CTGCCCTTTCTCTTTATCACTTGAAAGCCCTTGGATATGTTGATCCGGCGTACATGGATTACTGATTGCTCAAAAATGTTTCCTATGGTCCCTATGGTTCTAAATATTATTGGCTGAGGCTCCAGGTACAAAATTTGTCTATCAATCAGAATGGTCAGGACACCCTCCATCGGTATCCTCAACGAACCCCGGGCCCCGGAACAGTTGCCAGCCTCTTGCAACCAATCACAAGGTTTGTTGGCCAGGAACTACAAGTACTTTTTTCCTTTTGCTCCTCTACACCAGCATCGATTGCCTCTACATCGTGGCGAACATGCTCCCAACCGTGAGGCGACTCCGCCCAGATGGAGCTCAAGAGCGGGATCGAAGCACAGAAGGGATGCTAAGAAATGCAAAAGAGCAATCCATTCTCAGAAGGTGTTTGGGTGTATTCAGTATTCATGTGTATCCATGTGTATTCCTATCCGAATCCGGAACCACATACCCTTTGAGAAGGTTCTGACTGAGTATGTCTTGAGTGGCTTCTCAGTATCAAACTATTTCGACACTAGATCCAGTGATGATCAACATGGTCGATATTGATGCAGATGAGGGGAGAGACGCGCTTTTTCCGCCAGTCCGACTGTATGTTACATGTTCTGAAAAAGAACCAGTGTTTACCATGCTTCATTACTATATAGGCAACATGTTCAGAAGATAGGAGGCACCAAGACAAACCTGGATCTTCAAAGGGCCTAATTGGTTTTGCCATGCCGTTTCAAAGATCCGGGTAGTGATACATGTCCATGTCGTAGGAGAAATCAAGACTTGTTGACACGTTTTCTTGTATGGATCATGGTTCCTTCAAATTGCGCACCAATTTGGTACGGGGTCTCCTCAACTGGACGGCCTGAGCATTTTCGAATAGACTTTGTTGGCCGCTATGAGTCACTCCTGGGATGAATCTGGCTTTTGCACCCCCTTCCATAAGGTGAACATGGGTGGCACGTGCTTACACTCCATTCAACTCTAGGGATGGGATGAGCATCCTTGAATTTGGATGCTGTGTAGGTATCGCTGAACACTCCAACCCATGATGTTCCCAGCCCAAGCATGTAGGGAGCCACTTGACACCAACAAAGCCTTCAAAGCAAAGCTGGAGCGGCACATCTGCAGGGCTGGTACTCAGCCGACCACACCCTTCATGACCATGTGCCTGGGCAAATTTGAGCAAACTGAACTTTCTGTTGCCAGATGCGTTGGACCTGTCTTGTTCACAAAGTTGAACACGTTTATGTTGAAAGACGGTGAAGCAAGCGCTTATTGGAGATGACAAAGAGTTATAATGGTCTTACTACCACTAGGTTCAAGCCGTATTACTTTGTTGAAAGACGTATCAAAGCGCTGTGGGTGCGGTGAGAATTGAATTCTGCATCACCATGGCTTCCTCAAAGTTGTATAGTCTCTCAATTGTTTGGCCATGCACTGCGTTTTATAATGTTTTATATAGTTGCTTATTCATTACCTAGTACCCACTAGTCCTTTTGCCAAATCATTTTGCCTCGGGAAAGGCCATGCAGAGCCCTCGGTTGTATCTACCTTTGGGCCAGGACGACATGGCCACACAGAGCCCTCAGGTAGTGGGGGTAGGATTTTTTGACAGTCATAGGCTATAGAAAGGGAAAATGGAACTGCGTTGGCCCCCATGGCCAAGAACAACAGAGCTATGACCTCGCGACAAGCAAACTCACCGCAGATAGCCCAAGAATCTTCTGAGGTTTTCCCAAATCATTTTGGGTTGTGGATTCTGCCATTAGCTGTGTTAGCCAATCCAATGCTCAAGGGCCCGACTAAAGAGCTTGCGGTTGCTCTTTGCTCTTTGGGATGAATGCCTCCGGATTTCAGAACGATTCAGATTCCCGAACGACACTGAAGATCGTTTGCGCCTTTGTGAAAAGATGTTGGCCCATGTTGGCTGCAAATTGAGACCTTGAATCAAAACCCTTGTCGCAGGGATTTTTGGGGCACTTGCGTTGATGTGGTTGTGTTTGTCATTGGAATTTATTCATAGCTTTTCCAACACCAGTGCTCTCCACTCAGAGGTTATTGCCAGTGACGCTTAGGTTTTGGCTGATGTTCGGCGAGACGTTGGCGGGCTTCCTGGGGGCAGCAGCCTCAGTCTTCACCTCTTGGTGCTAAGAAGAGACCGAAGGACATAAAAAAAAGCCTGTCAGAGGGTAAGTGCTGTCACACCGGCCTCAACCCTGAAGTAGTGGAATTGGTTCCCTCGGCACCCCATGAGGAGGCAAACATGTGGGGCTAGCCCTTCTCTTGACCCAAAGGTTCCAGGACCATCCTGTAGAACTACTTCGATTCTAGTCCCGAAACCCATCCGATTCGGATGTTACCTACACCTTGTAAGGGAAGATTGTGTCGTTTGGCCAGCCCGGTGAACCGAAAGAGAGCGCAGTTTTCTTTGCCGTCACTTCCCCGTTCGCGTGCTCTTGGCAGGTCTTGGTCGTGCTCTTCTTTGGCTTTCATATCTACCTCATGTCAAAGGCAGCGATCCTCGGGTTCTCGCAATACGAGCAAACGGGAGTTCTCACCGTGGACAGGTCCAAACTTACTAGCTGTTAAGCGGGATTGAAGGATTGGAGTGCTGTCCTGTATTTTAAGTTAGAAAAAGTTCTTAAATATAATATGAATACTGAGATAGCGCCGCTTAAATTTTGTGACAGAAAATCACAGTGTGTTATTCTTGCGTTGAGTGAGAAAGGTCAAGGAATTTAACAAACCCGTTGAGATGCACTCAGTCATTTTGCATCTGGCTTGCAGAGTGAGTCCGCCTCTCAGCTTGGCCTGGGCCAAGACTAAAGATAATAAAGCGCTGTGTGAGAGAAATGTTTTCCTTAGCAAAGCTTGGCTCTGGGCCCCAGGCCTGTCACCACTATAGGGCTTGGGCACTGCCGCTGCCCTGCAAAGAATAAAGGTCAACAACCTCAAAGTGACACCTGGCACTGTCACAGCGCCATTTGTTTGCGCAAACATAGTTTTTTGTCATTGCTTGTGGCTTGTCAATATTTTCCCGGCTAGCTGTCGCTGATGATCATCCTGATACTGTACTGCATCGCCCTTTTGGCTGCATCACAAATTGGCCAGGTCATATGCCAGGACTTCCAAGGCATCATCAAGAATGCCTGCGTCGTCCTTTTCTTCTTCCAAGAACAAGTCCCGGACGGACTTGAGGATCTGGATGCCGGCCTTGATCTCACCACGCACCCGCTTTTTGTCACTGGCTTTGACCAAGCACCCAAAATCTGTCAAGTAGAAGTGGCCCATCCCGCTGACGGGTGTGTGCAGGGCTGCCGCGTAGTCAGCATCTTTGTCAGCCAGCCTGCAAAGCTGAGCTTGTGTGATGCAAACCCACACAATTGCAAGGTCTTCCCGGTTCACCATGCCATTGGTCTGTATCAGATACCGGCAACATTCCCGCAAGCTTTCAAGCGCCTCACTGTCCTCCTCAACTATCATGCCGTCCATGAAGTGCTCGATCATGGGCTCTGTGATCTTGTTTTGGACGTAGATGTCGAGAGTGGCCTGTTCCAAAAAGGCAGCCATGGAAGCAAATTCGGCTTGACAGTGCTCGAGGATAGTGGCGTTGTTTGAGCCTGGCCACCAGCTGCAGAATCAGAATCACATATTCTTTCAAATTCACAATGACACCTGGCACTGTCGCAGCGCCACGAGAAAACCAGCAGACTTGACTGTGCAAGCGTTGATTGATGGACATGGGAAGGCTTTCCAGGGCCTCAATGTCTTCATCAACGACGAGTATGCCTCGCAGGAAGTGAGCGTGAGCGTGGGAGCCGCTGCAAGGCAAGTGGAGAGAACTCAATGGTGAAAACTCACTCATCCTTGGTCATTAGTGTCAGCTTCCTTGCCAGCCCTGCAGCAACTCTTAGAGGTTGCTGTGGCATTGGGGTAGAGCTCTCAATGAACTTTAAAAGGTTTAGGGCTAGAGGCATTAGAGCCGTGGAGACAGCTTGCCAAGTGGTTCTCGGTGGGCCCATCATGAATGGAAAAAATCAAAAGAAGAGAACGCGCCGTGATCACACGGGCACATCTTGTTAATCTTGTTGCGCAGGCTCATCAAGTCGGATCTTGCCAGTCCAACTTGTTAGTTTTTAACTGTCAGTTATGCTATAATTGTGAGATAATTTGAAGCAGTCACCAGTTACAGGGAAAATGTGGCTTGGGGCTCGGTTAGGGCTTGGCGCGGCGCTGCTAGGGATGGGGAGCGGCAATCGGGCACATCTTCTTTTGGGCGACTTTCTCTGTTGCACAGGGGCCTTCCAACGCCCGGAGAACTAGGCGCAGCCAAGGTACCTTGTTGGCGAAGTGCTGAAACAAGGACCGTCCCTTAAAAGGGTCTTCAGCATCGACCAATGATATGTCATTGGGAGTGGTTAGCCTGCTGTCCTGAACCTGCCAGCCACTAATCCTTCCAGGTTGTCTTTGTTGGCTTTGCTGGATGCGCCATTGGCTTTTGAGGGCGTGTGTGGCGAAGGGGAAGTTGAAGAGCAGGCGTTGGATGCACAATGGGTGCTTTAAGCGGGCACGCGTGGAGAAGGGGAAGCTGAAAAGCAGGAGAAGGACTGGGTTAAAAATGTGATGCCTTTAAAAGCTCATGACACTATCCCAGCGTCATTCCCAATGTGAAATAAGGCTGGTGAAACAAAGCAGTGCATTTGCCATGCTTGCGTGGCGCTTTTCCAGCGCAGTCCAATGATGAATAGATCAATATGCTGGTTCAGATTCAAACATCTTATTGTAAATTTCCTTTGTTGAAGGCAAGCGGGCCCCGCCTCAAGAAATGCAGCGCCTGGCCAAAGAAAGCTTTCAGCTTAATGTGACACCCCACTGTGGGTAGAAGTGCCCGACAAGGTCTTCTTTTCGGCCATAGGCGCTGCTCAAGCCATGGGCATAAATGCATCCTCCGAATTTTGAAACACTCTATTAAATTAGCGCGCTGTTTGCAGCAAAGCCCGCAGCACAGGCACCAACAAGCCAATCGGCACTGCATTGCCAGCTATCGCTCCCAAAGTGCTTTCACTCACAACACCCTGTGGGATTTGAGCTGGCGAGAGGCCCATCAGTCGAAGCTTCTCATTCATCGTCAGCCAGCGATGCTGACTGAGAACCCAGAATCCATTGCCCTTTCCTCTGGTCCTCGTCAGGCAAGGTGCGTAGTCCACTGCCCAAGTTGGGCCTCGACTGGCCGAGTTGCCAAGGTCAATGATGATCTCCGATTCTTTCAAGGCTTGAGGGCTCTTCTGCAGAATAGCTGCTTTCGCCTCAGCCAATTGACGGAGGTACCCTGAAGACAGCTTCGTCACCTGCACTGGTGGGAGTCCACGCTCTATGATGTGGCTCAAAGGCTTCATGGGTACCTGCCAGCTCAGATGCAGCTTTGAGAAGATTATGGTCAAAACAACCATCAAAATTGCATATCAGCTTCGGGCCTCATCTGGCCAAAGCATGTCTTGTGTTCGTCGTTTGCGCAAAGTGCCGCAGATAAAAATCCTGACCCGGTTCTGTGGCAGCCCGCCGTGCAGCCGGGCGTTGAGCATCTTCCAGCTGACATCATACCTGAGAATCAACGACTCGCAAGTCTGAATTTGTTATTCAGTTTGCTTTGAAACTGACAACGGTTGACTACGCTGCCAATTCTGGCGTAAAAATAGCTAAATTGCGGTCCCAAGTGCAACTTACTCCCATCTGAGTCCTGCAGACTGTCCAGAACCATCAAAATCAAGACAAGGGCGTCCTTGTGAAACTTCCATAGTCCTTCCACGTTTTCTAGAGCAAACCAGGTTGGCTTCCTGGTCATTATGTAGGCAAGCAGGCTGAAAATAACACAGCCTCTGTTCGGGTCACGCATGCCGCGTCGCAGGCCTGCCGCTGAGAAAGGCTGGCATGGAAACCCTGCGAATAGCAGGTCGCAGGCTGGTGCTTGCTGCGCAAACTCATTGGAACAAACGTCCGTAAAAAAGTGGTGGTGGTCGTGGAGTGCGCGAAGGAGGGCTGCGCAACCTGTGTCAATATCACTGGCAAAGCAGCAGCAGTGCTTAACGCCCAGCGCGGCTAGGGCGAACATTTCGCTGCCCCATCCGCTGCATCCACTTCCAACGCGAATGCCTTCATGTGGCAGAACGCATGAAAGCTTGTTATGCCCGGTCTCAGACCCATAGCCCTTCAAGAGCTGGATCACCTCCAAGTGCTCGGGGGCTGCAGGCTCCAAAGGCTTTGAAACTCGTGGGGCTGCCCTCGGCTTGGAAGCAGCTGGTTTCTTATGCACTTGGCGGGCTCGCTTTGACGTTGGCTTGTCTCCGTGCTGGCTGTCCTCAGCTTGCCTGCGGCGCATGGCAGCTTGCAAAGCTATGGGCAAGGTGTCCTCGTCGTCAGAAAGCATTGGACCCTCTTTGAAGTTGAGCAAAAATTGCGCTTTCATCAAATAGGTAACAGGTAACAATCACCATGCCACTTTCAAAACAGCGGCCATTCTAATCAAATTTCATTTCAACAGCGGCCACTATAACAGCGGATGGCATCAAATCAAAGCCCCTGTGAAGATTTGCACTCTTTTTTCATTCCATGTCCAGCCGTCGACTCAGTTTTAATCCTGCTCAGACCAGGCACTGGCTTCTAGCGGGTGCGGTCTGGTGTGCCGAGTATGGCAGGCACTGGCTTCTAGCTGGCGCGATCTGGTGTGCCGAGTATCTATGGCACTTTGCCAAAATTTTCCACTGAGTAGCGGCTTCAACTCAGCCGGTAGTGGGGGCGCTGCCATCAGTCTTGCCCATCAGTTTGTTGAGCAGCAGCGCTCGCGCCTTCTCAGCCGCTTCTGCGTTGACTCCAGACGGGCGCCCTCCAGTGCGCGGCTTTTTGGGATTGGCAGGTTCGCCAGCTGCTCCTCCTTTGCTATCTTTGTTTCCTGGGCCCTTTCCTGCACTCTCCTGGCCAGATGCTTCCGGGCCGCTGCGCTTCTTCCCACCGGCAGCAACGTTGGCATCAGCAGCCTTCTTCGTGACCAGCTGCGCCCTCAGCAATTGTTTGACAGTCTTCCCATTTAAATTTTAAACACTTCTTGATTATTATTTCAACACAATATTCAAAAGTTTAAAGCATGTCCAAGGCCAAATTCGAAGGGCAGGCCAACGTCATAGAGCTCTGGAATGCTTTCATCGCACAGGGCTTTCCACAACTCGCAGATGACCTTCTTCTTCAGCAAAGAAGCGTGAGCAGCGGTGAAGCAGCACGATACCAAGGGAACTCTGGCTTTCAGGCACTCGATGGCACAGTTGTGGTCTATGTCCGTGAACTTCACAACAGCCTTCGGCTTGAAGCTGTGGAGGAGCTCGCCGAAGATCTTCGGGTTCATGAAGTGCCATGAGACGGGCTCTCTCGAGTCCTCGCTGGGCGGTTTCGGCGAGGGCTCTTCGCAAGGTCCACCGACCAGTATCTTCCCGTCTCGGCCGTACAACTGACCCTTCTCTTCCAAGGTGAGCCTCCAGCAACACGGGTCTAAGTAGGCAGGTGCCTTCACTGGGCCCAGACAAGATCCATAGTTGCTTCCTGGGAAGAACTTGCGGGTCACCTTGGGCATGTTCAAGGGCAACCGCGACATGACGTAGATTCGCTCATCCTGCTGCACAAAGCCCCTCGTCCGCTCGCGGCGGTCCTTGAGAGACTCCTCATCAGTCAGCAGGGTGTAGGTCGTCTTCTGCTTCTCCATGTGCGACCCATCCATCTTCAGGAAGGCGTTGTTGATGGCCATCTCGTTGCCGGACTTGCCGCCATCAAAAATGAAAAAGAAGTCACCTTCTCGCAACTCACCCTGGCATTGGCATGGTGCATCTCAATTTAACTTTAATATTATGATCATTTATTGCTATTTTTTTGACAAGAACCCAGCAATCGCCGCCTCTTCTCCAGGCTTCTGCCGGCATTGTGCAAAGGCTTGAAGAGAGCGCTTCAGGTGGTTTGCTCTCAATGGCGGCTGCCGGACATTCGGGTTCGAGGAGGACTCGCCAGATGTCTTGACATCGTAGATAGCCAGCACAGGACCATCCACTTTCGGGAGCACGGTTGAGGTCAATTTGTCCCCAAACTCACTTGTTCTCAAACTGTTGTCGTCGATGGTGAAGGTAACGAACTGTTCCGTCATTTGGGCGACGTACTCTCTCCAATCCTCCAGCGATGTGGAATCTTCAGCGGACACATCAGCCCACTTCTCGCCCAACAACTCGCTCAGGGAGACTGAGCTTCCGCCCGCTGCAAGGGCGCTAGAAGATGTCGGCCCTTCCGCTTCTTTCTGCTCAAGCGGTTTGCCATGATCCTTCTGGGCCCTTGATTTCATCCAAGCTGGCAGTGAGGATCGGGTTGGTGGCTACAACCTCGGCAACGTCGCTCGTGCCCTTCAAGGAAGTTCTCAGGGAGCCGTCGTGCTGCTGCTGATAGACCAGGGCCTGTGGCGCATCAGTCAATAAATTAGAATGTAAGCGGAGACAATGAAAAATTGAACTCCGAACGATTGATTGTCAACAAGTAAATGAATTTTCTAGAAAATAGCGCCTGGCCTGAACCAAGTTGAAGAGCAGGCGGCCAGTTTCACTGAGAGTGCCTTGCCAGGAGCGGTCTCGCGTCTTCTCGCGAAACTGGTCGTGGCTGAGAAGGGCGTCTCTTAAATATTCGCTCTCCTTCCCAGGCAACTTCAATAGGTCGAGGAACTTGCCCAGCAAGTGCTGCTTCAGCTCATACTTCAGCACCCACAGTTCGTACAAGCCTTTCTTGCCTTTGTTAGTAGCCTTAGTTGCAGCAGAGCACATCCCACAGACACTGTCTCAGCGTCAAAAAAAAAATTGCCAAATGAAACAAAAATTGATAGGAATAGACACTGTCTCAGCGTCACACTGTCTCAGCGTCCAAAGTAGCCCATACAAAAAGATTACATAGACACTGTCTCAGCGTCACACCCTCTCAGCGTCCAAAGGTGCCAACTTTGAAAAAATATTTGGAATGAAGACTTTGCTAAATTATAGAAATCAAGGTTTAAATTGCCCAGGGACTAAAGCCCGTGTTCCGAAGTCACGCCAGGTGCATTGGTCCGTTTCCAGGAGATCGTGCATTGTGCAAATCATCCACTCAATGAGAACTGGTGTCTTCCCAATCTTCACCAACTCTTTCATGTTGGTGCTCGAGTTCAAGGGGGGACGCCTTGCCATAAGCGGAATCCAAGGCCAAGCAGCGTGCCCGCAGCTCTGGCACATTCAGGAGGCGTTCGTAGATGGTGACTGCGTCTCTGCAGAAGGATTCTGTCACCTTTTCCAACTCAGCAATTTTGGCCTTCGATTCAGTGACCTGTTCAGACCACATGGTGTATAGTTCAGGAACTTCAAGCTTTCTCTTCATGGTCGTTTCCTTGGCGTGCTTGAAGCTCATCAGCTCATAGATCCGCTGCGCGGTGTTTCGGGCCAAAGAATCAAAGTCTGTGATGATTTCATTCCGGAGATTGACCTGTGCAGCCAAACCAATTCAATCGATCTAACGCATTCCCACGCTGAGCAAAGGACAGAAAGTTTTTCCCAAGCGTGAATCCAAGTGGCCGCCCTGAAGAACTTCTGGTCATTCGTGGGCAGGATCTCAAAGATCATTGGCACTGTGAGCAGCACAGCGCGCCACTGCCTCCAACGATTCTTAATGAGGAAGTTGCGTATACTACATTTCAAGATCATAGGTGATGAAAATGTCAAACTGACTTGCGTTCCAGGCAAAAGAAAGTGGGCGGCTACACGCGCCTCAAAACCTGTTCATCCTCACCGGCATCAATGGCCCCTGACACAGCCAGCAGCAAAGCGTGATCAGCTTCTTCTGGTGTCACTCGGGTCAAGTTTCCAAAATGCAAGGTCATGCTCTCTTCCACAGCAATGATCATCGGCTGCTTGATCCATCGTTTCGGTGAAGAGAAGTGCTGCTGCCTGAAGTTGTCGACCCCCTTCTCGTTCACAGGCACTTTGGGAGTGGCGCTCCACTTAAGGTTCACCCAAAACAAATTGCCTGCACCTTCATAGGTGCCACATGAACTCATGGCCATCTTGTAGTCCTCACTCTTGAAAGGCGCCTGCGAATCAAGATGCGCAAGACAATTACTATTTCAAGTTGGATCAAGCAGGCGCTTTCCAATTAGAGCTGAGAGGGTTTTAAGCCGGATCAAGTTCTATTTCAACTTGATTTTTCTTTAACATTGAAAAGTAAAATGCACTAACTTAACTTTACCAGCTGCGGTTCCAAAACAATTCTCAGGGTTCTTATTAGTCAAAGTGCAAACTTAAAAGCGTAAGAGTTGATTTCAAGAGAGTTTGTTTCGTTTTAGCTTTTCCTTTGCGTTTTGAAGTCAGTCTCATTTTTGTCATTTTAATCCTTTAAGAGAGGAAACTTTGTGGCCATACCTGTGGGCCAAGTTTAATGGGTGGCTGTTGGAAGCTTAGGGTTGCACAACCCTAGCCTTACAACAGTCGGGGGCGCCCCCGACTGTTGTAAGGCTA